TTCTAAGTATCCATAATCAGAACAATTGCTCCTGACGTTTCATATTCACAATCTGGTGAAAGTTCCTGGCCACCATGAAAGCCAGTTCATATACCTACGGTCCATCCCAAATGGCATATAATGTTTTATTTTACCGGTTTTTATATTATTCATAAGCTTCGGGACTTAACACTAGTTCTATACTAGAAGAAAGTTTCCAAGAATTTATTTTCGCTTTTGAGGTTATTATTTATGTGTTTTGTAAGATAAATGGTAACAAAAGGACACACAAGCCGTATAGTGCAAAAGACAGTCTTCTAATCGCTTTGATTCAGCACAGTGGCGAAAAAATCTAAGTGAGTAAAGTGAATAAAGTGAGAAATTTAATAGTATAATCTATCTCTAGAAAGATGTCAGACATGTCGAAGGTGTAACAAGAACGTATTCAGCTATCTAAGACAGTATATAATTGTTAGCTCAGACACTAACTGGATACGGGTCCACCTTCAAGGGTAGCCCGATATCGTCGCTTCGAGTACGGTAGACACAATGTCACGAGACACGAGTAGATGTCATGGACACTTAACGATTTTGGAAGTTAGTTCCTTTTTTAACAAACGCAAAGCACATGTACATAAAAACTAAAATAGGAGTTTAATAAACAGTAATATTGGATGGAAAAGAATTAATAGAAAGGATGTGCTGCGAGGAAGTGTCCAATTCCTGTTAAATATGTCAGGAACGCGTAATGATAGCTTTATAAAATTTTATAGGATAAAATTCAGTTTTATAAAACTATGGTAATAATACTGCATTTCAATTGTCACAATAATAATTGAACATTTTATGTTTTTTGCTACTGGAACTACAGTTATTCAAAAGTAATTTAATTAAAAGAACATACAGAGAAAGAAAATATTAACGGTTGATATTCAAAAATAGTAACAAATAAGACGGTGGTTGCATTGGAGAGTATAAGTGTATTTGTTATTATTTTTGTACATTAATCTCGTTCAAATTTAATTTTCTTATGTGTTAAAGAATTAGTCAAAATTATTTTGAAACACTGCGTTTTTGTTGTAAAACTAATATAAAGATCAATCACTATTATGCAATTTACTCCAAAGTCTAATAAAGTTCTACCAGTTTCGAGATTTCTTTTTTTCGTTAAGGTGTCACTTTATGAAAGTATGCATAAATATTTTTAAAAAGCCACAGATATAGGAGTTTCGCTACAAAAAAGTAATCATAATTTTGTAAATGTACTAAATGCAATTGTAAAAAATGTAGGATATAAAATTTTATGAAACGTCCGTATAAAATTTATGCACTTCCTCGCGCAATGCTCTATATAAATTCATTGTAAGGTTTATTTAAGAAACTTTAGGGTTAGTCACTAGACGAAATAGATAAAAATATCATCGATGACGTTATCCTTATTATAAATAAAGACCAATTAAACGTGAAAGTCAATATACAGTGTGTCCCTTTAAGTTTTATTTTCAATTTTACAAAAAGGTATTCTTTATAAAAAGTTCCCCTTTTTTAAAAAATGGTATTAGACTTCTCTTAAGATAGTATAACAGGGTAGCCAAAATTTAAAAAATATATCAAAGATAAGGGAGAAGTACAGTTAATTTTTATTTTAGAGAAAAATGTAATGGGAAAATGTCACTTACTAGGAATTAAAAATTAAGTCAAGTTTAGATTCGTAACGTCCTTCTATTTTTTTTTGTCCATTTAGGTTTTATACCAATAGGTAACTTTTTAATTATCGATTTGACGAAAAAAAAGTTATTCTTTATAAAAAGTTCTGGTATTTAGATATACAAAGCAGAACTTTTTATAGAGAATATTTTTTTTTCGTAAAATTGATAATAAAAAAGTTACTCATTTGTAGAGAACTTTAAGAGACACACTGTATACCAGGACTTTTTCTACACATAATTATCCAACATCTCATGGAATTTATGTGTTATTTTACATTATAAAAAATTTAATAGATTTATGACGGTAATGACTGGGAAGGTATCTTGAATTATTTTTCACGGAATTATTTGAATACGTTGAACTGCCGGAAAAGCTTTAACTGCCTCCTTTCTTTCATTCTATAGCTCGCAGTCTCATTATATCCAAAAAAGAGCCCTTTCAGAACTTCAGTTGTATACAAAAGTTACATAACCATAATTGGATTATACAGAAAACGCGAGGTAGGGGTAGTGCGAAATTCTGTTGAAAGTCGAAAGCAATCACTTCGATATTGTTATTAGACTTGGCCAACTTTACTTTGTTATTTAAATCCTTGTAAAGTGTTTCCGCTTTTGAAGTAGGAAGTTTTTTATTAACGAACACCCGTACCTCATATCATATACTTATTCTGTTGTTTTAATTTTTCCCGATAATATACAAAACAGATTTTCAACTTCCATCAAAATGTGCTAAATCCTTGTTCATAGGATTATTTCATATTTAGTGAATCTCTTTAGCATTGTTCAGAGACAGTAAAATTATTTATAATTGCCAATTCATAACATAACTTTCTCCACCTGGTATCCCTATATTATATGACTTCATATTCTTCAAATAACTGCTTTATCGTCATATACATTTATCAGCATTTCAGGTTGCATATTTAAAATTAGAAGTTGTAGTTCCCGCATGCTAATAAAGGAAATCAAATGTATAGCAAATATTCTTTCTTAAATTCTTTCGTAATTAGATTCGCAAAATAATTAAAACTGTGGACATGACATAATATTCAAAATGTTTCTGCACAATTTGAATAACAAACAATGACTTTTCTTAGTTCAACATTTACCGAGGTCATGGATATGTAAAATAGTCAAAGTTTTTAATATGCTATTTTTTCTAATGGTGATGAAGCATCACATTTTAAATTCACAATCCACGTCACTGTACAATAACATGTACATGTCTACCTCTGATCTGAAGCTTCGCATCGATCAATTTATTCGATACATATCTAGCGGCACCACCCTAATGGCTGCCCTGTCGGCGAACAATTCAGCCTTTTTTGCTGAGCGACGTTCGCCGTGCATTTCATTGTCGTTTGTGCATGTGTGAGTAAGTTTGACAAAGCAAAGGCTTGGTTGAGTGTATGGCAACTGTTTTTCGTTCGTTCGTGTTTCCGATGTCTAATTATAAATATAAAAAATATCAATGTGTCGGAACCGCATATGTAAAGAAAATTCTGTTTAACCTGTTTTATAAATTTCTCTGAAAGTATTTGATACTTTTTGAAACACGTATACAGGGTGTATCACAAAGCTCTATTCAGTTAAAATAGTGTCAACTTTCTCGCACTTTTGGTTATACCGCAAGTCATCATCAACTCTGTTATTTCAAATGGAATACTCTGTACATTTTTGCATTTTTTAATTTTACGGTAAATTCTAGACTAATTTCATATAAGGTACTATAGCCCAAAATGTGACACTTTTCATGTTATCAATTTTCTAAAAAAATTGAGGGATACAAGTGATTTTGGAAAACCAAATAACTCCGACATTTTGCTTTATTTATTAATAAAATTTGGCATGTATAATTTAAAAGCAATGAAATTCAACCGGTTTATGTCAAATTTTCAAAAATTCATGTTAAGATTGTTTAAGAACGTGTGGCCAATATTGTGACGTTAAAGTTGTATTTACTCAAATATTTCAAGTGGTACACCCTGTATATTATTACATAAATATATGCACAATTAAATTTACTTCAAAATGATAAATAATTTCCTATACCTAAAGTTAACAGTTCTTGTGTAAATTGGAAATTATTGATTTCTTCACAGAAAAATCTACGGTGGATTTGTTGCATTAAATTAAAGTATTGAATAATAAACGGTACCTGATTAATGAACTGTAATTTTTATTATCGTTATACGTTCATTAAAAACAATAATTCAGTATATTAAATTAAAAAGAGCGATGCTTTAAATAAACCCACCCATATTTTTCTGTGTTGAAATCAATAATTTCCAATTTACGCAAGAACCGTGGGTATAGGGAGCAATAGCATAATTTTAAAGTAAATTTATTTCTGTTTCCGTTAATGTAATAATATATAAGGTGTACCATTAGAAATTTTTGAATAAATTCAACTTCAACGTCACAATATTGGCCACACGTTTTTAAACACTCCGTATGAATTTTAGCAAGTTTGACATAAACTGGTTGAATTCCATTGCTTTTGAATTATCCATGCCAAATTTCATTAATAAATATAAGCAAAATGTCGGAGTTATTCTATTTTCAAAAATCATTTGCATCCTTCAATTTGTTCGAAAATTGATAAAAACTGTCACATTAATTAAAAAATGCATAAATATACAGAGTGTTCCATTTGAAATAACAGAGTTGATGATGACTTCCGGTATAACCGGAAGTGCGGGGAAGTTGACACTATTTTCATTTGATAGATCTTTTTGATAAACCCCTGTATACAAATTTTCAGATGTCAATTCTGGCTACTTTTTGAGACAATCCTACTGGGACGTTTTCGTGATACACCCTGTATATTCTGAAAGTTCAACTCAAAAGCAATATACTTACATTTTTCAAATTAAAATAGACTTCTCCAATCTCCAATTCAATTGAAGCATCATGTAGGACAAGTTACTAACGTGAAATTTAAATAACAATTTTCTGTATAAAAACTGGCTACTTTAAAAAACAACTCTAGTTTTCTGAGGTACATACAGTGCTTTCGAAAAGTAACGAATAAATTCATTATTTTTTAAATTGAGAAGTTTTCGAAAAAATCCCCTGGCACGTCGATTTTGTTTTTAAAAAAGGCACTTTTTGTCATGCGACCCATATTTGTGACGTCATCGTTGTTCGAGATATGACGTCATCGACAATTTTTTTAAATAGCAATTTAAAAAATAATGAATTTATTCGTTACTTTTCGAAAGCACTGTATAGAAAAGACGTAGTAATAAAATCGTTATAATCAATTTAGCTGTTCAGGCTGTTTTAATAGAGGGCTTTTCATATTCGCAGGTCTGTTCCACCGAGCAATATTGATGGGCGGCACGGCTTTGGCGGACTGGGCATTAGCAGGACACGAGAGTGGAGTGACATATCAAGTATCTCGGGCACTGAACTGTCAAGTTCAGGACGATTTTGCGGGATGTCTGAGAAGGAAGCGGCTTGATGAAATCATGGCTGCAGGTGTTCGAACTATACCGTACGAGACGCGTTTTGGACCGATAGTGGATACCCTGATAGTGCCCAATAATCCAAAGAAGTTGATGACGCAGTATACGGATATATTTAAAAGGTAGTTAACGAATTAATTACGCAATTATTTTGCCAAAAATTATTTCCATGAAATTTCCTTTAATACTCAGTGAATTCTTTTTTTGAGTATTACGCCATGCTGCGAATAAAAAATAAATAAATAAATACTGTGCTACAATGTATATCCCGAAAAATCAAATCCTTCTTCTATATTTTTTCAACCAACAGAAATGATGGAAATAAAACAAATAATACACGAATTAAAACCACATAAATCACCAGGAGTTGATCAAATAAGATCAGAGACCATTAAATTAATCTCTGAATACATAAGTACTCCCTTAACACATATTATAAATATGTCCTTAGCAGCAGGTATATTTCCAGATAAGTTAAAGCATGCTTTAATAAAACCATTATATAAAAGAGGTAATAAAGATGAAGTACAAAATTATAGACCAATATCTCTATTAAGTAATATAGCCAAAATATTTTAAAAAGTAATAAAAAAGAGAATAATACATTTTTTAGATTCAAACAAAATACTTTCAAAACAACAATTTGGTTTTAGAGAGGGTCTATCAACTGAAGATGCATTAGCACGGTTAACTAAAATTCTGTATAAATCTTTATATAAAAGTTGTCCATCCCTATGCATCTTTATTGACTTAGCAAAGGCATTTGATACAGTTAATCACAACAAATTATTAATAATATTAGAAAAAATAGGTTTCAGAGGAATTGCTTTAAAATTGATGTCGAGTTATTTATTAAATCGTAAACAACAAATTATAATTAATAATATAAAAAGTACTTCAAGAACAGTAGAATTTGGTGTGCGTCAAGGTACAGTATTAGGCCCGGTCCTATTCAATATATATATTAATGATTTATATGAAGTTCCCACAGAGGGTGAGATAATTAGTTTTGCGGATGATACCACTATATTTTATGCAGGTAATGATTGGAAAGATTTAAAAGAAAAGGCTGAAAAAGATTTTAAAAATATTGCATTATGGATGAACAGCAGGTTATTAACTATTAACTACTCAAAAACATTTTTTATGCCTTTTATATGCTACAGTGACAAATTGCCAAGTTACCACAAACTTGAAATCAATATAGGTGAAAAAATAGTAAATATAAATATAACAAATAAAATAAAATATCTAGGTATATTTATTGATTCACATTTAAAATGGAATCATCATATTGACTACGTTGTTAAAAAATTGCGATGTCTTTTAAGCAAATTTAAATTTTTCCGAGATATATTAGATGTTAAACAAATGAAACTTTTATATTTTGCTTTAGTACAACCCCATCTTATATATGGCATGTTAGCATGGGGAGGGGTAATGAACAACTATGTAAAAAAATTGGAAATAACACAGAAATGGTTAATAAAGATTGCATTTAAAAAAGATTATACTTACCCAACTGCTTCACTCTACGAAGAGACTCAAATATTTGATCATCGACAACTGTACTTTCTAAGTATTTCCACATATCTTTATAAATATCCAGACGATATAATTTTTTTTGATCACGATATATCTACTAGATCTAGGACTGATCTGTTACCTAGAGTACCTAAAATTAACAAAACTATTGGTCAAAGAAGTTTTACCTTTTTAATTCCATTTATTTATAAACACATTCCATTAAATATTAAAACTATAAATTCTATGTCTCTATATAAACAAAAGATAAAAGTGTTGCTTACAAATACACCTAGAATAATAATACATGAAATTATTGATAGAAAAAACTACGTTTAGATATAATATACAACTTACCTGTCAATAACATGTATGTGTGTGTGTTTTTGCTGAACTTGCTCAAAATGTTAATTTAACGCATGTTTACCTATATTGTTTCTTTTTTATTTATACATATTTTTTGTGCTCTCAGTGTCAGTTGTTTGTATTATATATGAATTTATCTATGTACAGTATTATTATCTATTATTATTGATTGTTAATTGAATATGTTTAAAATTTCTCCCCCACGCACAAGGCAACTTTTGTGGGGTCATCCGTTTATTTACCAAAAATTTTGTATGAATATATTGTAAATAGGTTTTTGTATGCTTACATGTATGGTAAATAAATATTATTATTATTATTATTATTAAGAATCGCAGTAGGCTACTGTTTGTAATAGATTTATGTTTGCCTTTAAAAGGTCACATTCAGAAGTAGAAGTTGACAACGAAATCATCATATCATTGCATTAATTTAGGATAATAAATGGCACGTCTTTCGAACGTTTAGTATACAAGGTATCCGGAAAGATCATGTCAAAAATGAGTAGGTGTACAAAGGAGCTCTAAATAATTGTAATACTTCATAATTTTTTTTTCCTATCGGGCTTCGTTGTGGAGTTATTCGCCTTCAAAGAAAGAAGTTTGAAAAACAAATTCAATTATAACTTCTAAGTCGTTAAGTCGTTACCACGACAAGAATGAAATTTGGGCAATTAAAGTTCATGGTAATGTTCTTTCCAAGTTTAAACTGATATTCAATAAGTCCAAATTATACAGGAGCAGACAAAATGATTCATTTAAATTTATATATCTTTGACAGTGTTGCCAAATTTTATATTTTTCTGTCACAGTTCGATTCCGCTTTCACAATGTTAAAAAAAGGTATACCATACTTCAGTCGATATCTTGTACCGTTTTTGAGAATATCGAATTTTATTAACAACATACATTTATTGTGGATATCAAAAATGTGATACTAACATTTTTATAAAAATCTTGGTTTCTATAGAATTAAAAGAAAAAAGAGAACTGAAAGTAAGATGTTCAATATGTGCACCTTGAACTTCAATTAATTTTTTTGCTCAAACACCTCTGCTGTACTCAAAATAACATGTGGTGATCATTTCTAATGATGTCGGCGTATGTAATTATGCGATTTAATAATTCTTCCCTACTATTTATAGGAGTTTGATAAACAAGACTTTTAAGATGGCCCCGAAGACAAAAATCGAGAGAATTAAGATCAGGACACCGAGGCAGCCACGGAAAAATACTACCTCTATCCATCGATCGGGAAATGTGGTATTTAAATAAGCCCTTGCTGCCCTGCTAAAATGGGGTGGTGCACCATCGGGCATAAGCCACATGTTATTTCAAATATTAAAAGGGACGTCTTCCAATAACGGATTAAGGTGTTCTTGCGGTAAATGTAGGTATTTATCCCCATTTAAAGCGTTATCAATGATATATGGTCCCACTAAGTGGTTTCCAATTAGGTATAACCTTCCATGTATTAATGATAAATTTTTGTTTTGTTTGAATAATAGAATGGGGGTTTTCGTCAGTTCAAATATGCAAATTCTATTCTATTTGGAAAACGGTTGGCGTAAATCCAAACAGCTTCAGAAGCGTTACATTGTGCAAGTTCGTACATTAGATGAATATCAGCAAATTCTCCATAACTAAAATCCTTCATGATATTGAATTAACAAATGGTGTCAAAATGATTTATGACAAATATCTAACTGCTAATTATACATATTTGTAGACAGTCATCTGAATTTTCAAGATTTTTGCTAAAATGTTAATATCGCATTTTTGATACAATATATGTATGTTGTTAATAAAATTCGATTTTCTCAAAAACGGTACAAGATATCGGTTGATATATGGTATATCTTTTTTTTTATCAAATTGAAAGAGGAATCGAAATATGAAAGAAAAATGTCAAAGATGTCTAAATTTAAATGGATAATTTCGTCTGCTCCTGTATAATCCAGGCATATTGAATATTAGTTTAAACTTGGAAATGAACATGCTTACTTTAATTGCCCAAATTTCATTGTTGTCATGGTAACGACTTACAAGTTATAATTGGAATTTGTTTTCTTTGAAAGTGAATAACTAACTCCACAACGAAGCCTGATAGGAAAAATTTTTAGTATGAAGTATTACAACTATTTTGAGCTCCCCTGTATACCCCTTCATTTTTGACATGACTTTTCCGGACACCTTGTATAAATCTATTTAAAAAACTACAGGGTGTGCATTTCGTCAGTCCTTTAGAAATACTGGTAGTGAAATTTATACAGAAAGATTTGCACCCGGATAGGTAATTTTAATAACAAAATAACAAACAATACATCATTTGATAACCCACAATACATATTTTTAGAAAAAATTACAACGTTCCATAATACATAAAGTTAGCGTTTCTAAACCATGCAATAAAAACATTTCAACCATCAGCCTGGACAAGTTGAATTAGAATGACAAAAAACATTTCAATTGATAACCCAGAGCATATACTTTTAGAAAATCGGCTGAAAACATTTTTTTTAAATAAATTCATGTGTATTAAAAAAATTGCATGGTATTATGTGTGTTTATTGAAAATACACACGCACGCGCACCCGCGCACATACACACAAACAAACTGATAAATAAAATTATATAAGGCAAAATGATGTGCAAAATCCGACTTGACAACCTCTTCGTAGCACATCGGGTTACTCTAATGTCAGCGGTAATTGTCGTTATTCTTTATTTGTGAGAGCATTTAACAAATTTCTATCAAATATATGCTAATCATTGTTAAACAAGCTACATTATATGTCAAAAAATTATATTTGAGTGTGAATCAATTTTTCACTGCTTTTGACCCTTTTGTGGGCACTACCGCCTCCAGATGGGCATTTGGAGCTTCGGGTCCATGAAGACTTTTGAGTAGTAATAAACATGGGACAACATATCAATTTTTCAGGAAATTTCACCGAAAGTCCAATTTCCATAAGGTGTGTGCGGTTCCGAAACAATGCTATAAAAAAATTGCTAGTGTCACCATCGATCTCGGACAAGCTGATTTAAGGGCCTAGAATAACAGAAAACACTTCCTTTGATATTCCAGAAGATATAATTTTCGAAAAAGTTGTAAGGGTGGACCATCCATAAACTTGACGTAACATCCATCGGATACACCAAAGGAAGCAGTGAAACAAGATAATAATAAATATGTCAGTAGGTAAAACAATAAGAAAAATAATAAACAGAAA